GACGGTGCCTACCACTAGAGAGACAATCGCTCAGCCCTTTTTACAAAGAATAAGAAAGTATGTCGCGGGAACAACGAGAGCAGCGGGAATTTACCATCGTTTTGTGGTGGGATGGACCTACGAATATATCTGTCAAACACTCTCACTTGAAATAAAACTATCTGCAAAATTAGGCTTTGTATAAAAGGACTGTATAATAATGAAGAGATAATGCGTTGTCAACACTAAAAACTTCGGTTGATAAACTATCAGTCTTAAAAAAACTTCGATACACACTTAATGCAAACTATAACTAAACCCAATAAAATTTAAAGAAATACATGATTTTGTTTAAAATTTCACACTGTTACGAAGCTTATCATTGATGAATGAAACATAATTCGTAGTTGTATCAATATGGGAAACCAATTTTTCATCTGTTTTTGTCATAAAGAACAAGCAGTTAATGTTGGCCTCGATATAGACTGAGTATAACTAAAGTAAGAGTTTTGCCTTTTTGATGTCAACCCAAAATGTATGAGTTAAGAAGGACCTGATACGCTTGAAAGTTATGAATGGCTGGTAAAAAGATAACTCTAGTCATGCATAATAATGTGATTTCATATGTCTCTTAACTTAGACATCTCCATTTGGACCTTGTTAGAGTAGATAGCAGGACAATATTTCGACAGCAAGACAATACATGTCCAAAAAGACACCAAGCTTTAGTCTTATTCAACATCGGTCAATTCGTTTCGACAATGTTAATCGGTTGCAAGTGAGTCTTCATTCTTAAGGGAGACTCAGCGCTGTTTTCAGCATCAAATTCTTGCTAAACAATACATTTTCCACGTTTATTCACTACCAATAAAAAGACAACAAATTTACCGGATACAGTATGAGCTGATTCCATAGCACTGATGCTGACTACCGTCGGGGATGGAGTAACTTCTTTTTCCCCTCTTCTAGGGCTCGGGCTAGTACTCCCCTCGGATGGATGAAAGGTAGCAAAAGAACTGTGAGAAGGCAAAGACAGAGCCACGGAAACTGGAGGACTATTGGGGGGATCTTCGGTCAGAGCTTCTTGTCCTGTCAGCTGATGACGCTGATTTTCCCGACGCCGTCGACGGGCATGAGCCCAAGTGTTCTCATAGGCATATATTTGTAGATGGTAGCCACCAATATCGCTCCGATTTTTCTGAGTGAGGATGCACATCTAGTACAGGATAAATCGACATTAAAGAAATGAGATTCTTAATTGTGAAAAGAAGTAAATGAAGTCTAATGATACAAGAAGGATGAAAAAGAAAGCGCTCATCTTGCAGGGTGAAATATTCAACTCAGTAATTCTTTCGAAGATATGAATAACAAGATCGTGTGTCCTTTTGTGTCATCGCAGTCTCCTTTCGTTGTATAGAAGTTGTTTTACATTGTTTTCACAACTTGGTCATATTGGTAGGAAGACTTAGGGGAACACACCTAGTCTGGAGACCGTAGTATGCATAATAAGTTCCAGAGTCGGACCGTGCCGTGGTGTATTCCCAGACGTTTAGCCGGCATCCTCAGTGAGTCTTGCCATTCTTAGCACCACACGACAATTCGTCAAAGATATACGAATAAAAGTTGGGTTTTGAGTAATATCTTGTTTCATAATTGTTGAGCTTACTTCCATTTCGAGTGGAAGTGTTGGGTGAAGAGATTCGAACAGCTGGCCAAGAGGAATCCGCCGTCTCTTCACCCAACACTTCCACTCGAAATGGAAGTAAGCTCAACAACTCTTCAAAGAGACAAGTGAAGCCGATCCTTTGACCAAATGTATGCTAAACAGTTGTGGTATCTGTCCTTCTGTCCTGGGCTATTCATCTATCCCACATCCTCGGATCACCCTTTCAGCATTACAATCTTTTTCCTTGCCTATTTAAATGCAGTGTGGTGTGCCTTTTTGGGCGGCTTTCACGAGAAACCTTCACACTCCACGCTGGCGTTCTCATCCCTCTTCACCCTTGTACTGGGAATGTGGATCAGAGTCTGCCATATTGTTACGCAGTCCTCCTTCCCTCCTTCCCCGTAAGATCCGTTTGCTTTCTTCCTGGTTCAAGCCTTTCACTCGGCCATTGTCACGCCATCTATGCTGCACGAGGCGTTATTATCCATCCATCACGTCTGGGTGACTAATTCGAGGCTAAAGCCTCTGAGTAAGTCTAGTGGCCAAGCATTTGCTGCATGGATCATGTTTATGGTACTGCTTGCTTTGATTGGGTTCAATGTAGAACCACAACATTTGTGGTTTGGCCCACAAGAGACTAGGGCATAGGAAGTCATAGACTCGATATTACGGATAGAAACCGGATAGACGTGGCGGAGACTAAGGCCAGTTGGCTGACAGTAGACCTGTTTCACCATAAACGTGGTCCATGCAGCAAAGGCATGACCATGAGACTTACTCAGAGGCTTTAGTCTCGAATTAGCCAACAGACGAAGGTGTGGGCGAATAACGCCTCGAGTAGCACTTATTGGGTGGCAGGGGTAGAGTGAAATATTTGAACCAGAGAGAGAGCAAACGGATCCTAAGGGGCAAGATGGAGACTTTGATAAGGCGAATGGAAGGAGGACTGCGTACCAATATGGCAGACTCTGATCCACATTCCCAACACAAGAGTGAAGGGGGGTGAGAACGCCAGCGTGGAGTGTAGAGGGTTTTCATGAAAGCCGCTCAAAAAAGCACACCACACTACATTGAAATAAGCAAATAAAAAGATCGTGATACTGAAGAGGTGATCCAAGGATATGGGATAGATGAATAGCCCAGGACAGAGGGAGAAATGCCACAACTGTTTAGCATACATTTGGTCAAAGGATCGGTTTAACTTTTCTCCTTGATGAGTTATCCTGTGGTACTAAGAATGGCAAAACTCACTGACGATGCCGGCGAAACGTCTGGGAATGTACCAAGTCCACGATCCAACTTTGGAAGTGATCATACATACAATTGTCTCCGAATTAGAAACGTTATTCTTAGTCTTCTTGCCAATATGACCAAGTTGCGAAAACAAGATCAAACAAATGATAAATGTTGCCTAACTCCAAATAATGGTTAATTAATTGATTTTGTTCGTTACCTTCTTCATCTCTGCTTAAAACGATATCTTATAGACGGAGATAAACGATATTCAGATTTTTATATCAAGTGTCTCAAAATTTGGCCTATTTTCAATGTGTAATTCGTAATAAAGTGAGTTTCTCACTCTCTGACCCAGAATTAATTTCGAGCTTGTTGGGATTACTTCCATTTCGAGTGGAAGTGTTGGGTGAAGAGATTCGAAGGTCGGTTCCACCAGAA